CTTATAAATATTGTACTTATTTAACTACAAGGGCAAAAGCATAAAAGCTCTGTTCTTTATAGGTTCAACAAGCACTAACTCCATTTCTGTGAGTTCCTAAGAAGATTGGTAGCCAACAGTTAAATAACACATATTTCAATATCAGATCAAGCATAGAAGTATCTGTCTATTTTCAGGTGGATATTAGTTCTCTGACAAACATCACATTTTTCTTAAATGTATAGGTTTTTAAGCAAAATCTATCTTGGGTTTGTCTCTACTAGACAGACTTAACAGTAACCATTTTGGTAAATAAACCTTAAACATATGCATTTTTTGTACATCAGTTATACCTCATTAAAGCTTTAAAAAATTTAATAGTTTAGAGAAGCAGAAAAACAAGTGTAATTTTGACCAATTTTCATTCTTTTGATAAATAAGTACTTATTGATGAGTATCCTCGAAATAGAATCATTTACTGTGTTTAGAATATGACGTGTACAAAATATGACACATGTTCAGAAAAGTTCATAAAATAAATAGCACATAGTTCAACTAAACAGGAGTCCATGCTAGTGGGAATGTAATGGGATCTCATGATTATTTTAATTTGCATATCTCTAATGTGACTTCAGCACTTTTGAAATTTTTCTTGTCTATTTGGTATCTTTTTTTTTTTGAAGTAGCTATTCTCTTGCTCCTTTTTAAATGATGAATTATCTTTTTTGTATTGATTTGTTAAAGTTATTTATATACTTTGGAAAGTAACTTTTGTTAATTATGTGTGTTGCAAATACCACTACATACTCTGTGGCTTACTTTTTCAGTCTTCTAATGGTGTTTCTAGATACTTGGAAAACCTTTATTTTAATATAGTTCATTTTATAGATCTTTCCCTAGATGAACTGTACATTTTGACTGAAATATGGTAGGCAAGCATATGCTGTATGGTTTTAATCCTTTTAAATTTGCTGAATTTGCTTTAGGGTCATCATATGATCCATATTTGTGAATGTTTTATGCAAGCTTGAAAAGAATATATTTTCTTTATGAGCCTATTTCCCATCTCCACCTATTATTTGTTAATTGTATTAGTCAAAACTGTTACAGCCTTATTATTTTCTTGTTCATTTTATGAGCAGTTGTGTTTGACACTGTTATTTTAGGTATATCTACTTTTCCTTATAATTCTTTTAATTTTTGCTTTAGTTACTCTGAAGCTATGATGCTAGGCATCATACTTAGTATTCTTATGGGTGAAATGAGTCTTTTTTACTGTGGAGTATCTGATTGTTTTCTTCAAGAGAATTGGTTAAAATTACCTACTTCACTCTTTGGGGGACAAACTATAAGTGAACTCTGTTAGAAAGACACAGCCCTTTCTCTCCGGGAGTGTACTGTAAAGAGGAGGAAGCCTAATAGAAGGCAAGGCACTTAGAGTACAATTTTGAAGCATTGAGGGAAAACATGGGATGTGTGGTAGCCCACAGAAGGCCCCTTAACACAGATGTAGTTGACAGGAAGGATCCTAGAGAAGGTTGCCTCTGAGCTTGGCTTGGTCTTGTTTGGGGACTTGGTTAAGGTGACTCAGTTCTTGAGGCTGGCAAGGAAACTGACAGACAGGGGGAAGGGAGTAGTTCTAAAGGCATAAATTTGTTTCCAATCATTTGCTATTTTAAAGCATTTTCCAATGTTTGCAATTATAAATAAATAACACTGCAGAGGAGAACTTTGGGCATTAACCTTTGCCTGTGTTCCATACTATTTCTTTAGGGCAAGTTCATCAAAGGAGACTTACTGAAGCAGGGGGTCTGGACCTTTTTATGCACAGAAGGGGGCATCTAGTTCAGGGTCATAGGAGGCTTTTAGAAATAAACTACAATGAAGCCAAGTTTTGAGGGGTGATTAGGAACAGGAAGGATGAAGGTAGGCATATAAAAGCCTGGGGAATCTCATGGACACACAGGAGGGTAAAGGGAGCAGTAAGTAAGTAATTCAGTGTATGCTGGCTTAGTCACCAGGTAAGGAGAGTCATGCTCAAAGTGTGGACTTTAACTGTAAACTATGTTTATGTTTTATTCTACCAAAGAATAAAGGCCCTTTTCCCTTTTTCTTACCTTTGAAGTTCACGGAATTCATTTGTACCATATTCCTCAAATGATTATAACAGTTATCTTTTATATACCAGAACTTACTTTCCTTCCATCTCCCCAGGTGATGTTAGCATCTGGAATATATTCTGTTTCCCCTCCATTGCCCACCATCATCCTAAATTGTGACAACTTCTCTTTATTTCTTTCCTATTCATCTGTGGCCACGTGATCCCTGATAGGACTTTTCAGTCTAAGCCCAGCTCCCCCACTTTTTAGCTGTGTCATTTCTTAAATGCTCCTTAACCTCTCTTTGTCGCCATCTCCTCATGAGAACCTTAGTGATATCCATCACAGGATTGTGAAAATTCAATGAAATCATGTATGCAAAAACACCTGGCTTGTCTCTGCAGCATGACAACAATTTCCTCTCCATTGTGAGTACCTGCATCCATCAAGGCTGAAAATGCCTTTTGTTACAGTTTAGAGCATCTCTAAGCAGCTTTAGAAAGGAAAATCAGAGAATTGCATGATTCCTAGAGCCTTCTCTTAGCTGTGGTTCCCCTCATTTAGGGACAAAGCCCAGACTGGTGAGGGCACCTCACCTTTCTTTCTTGCTGGATTTGAGCATACAATGAGGAGTTTGAACTTTAAGGCTTTTCATTAACTAGCTTCTACACATTTGAGAGACACTGTGTTCTCATGGTAACATAGCATGTCTTTCCTTCTCTTAGGTCACTCTTGCCTTCCTTCTGCTTGGTCCCTATTCTCCATCTTTCCCTTCCCCCACATCACAATGAAGAATCCAAGCTCTGGCCATTTCAGATATCCAAAGATCAGGGCAGGCTGACTAATTTTGCCCAGACTTTCTGTGAAAGCTCCGCATGTGCTGCTGTTTTGGGTTGCATAATTGATTTAATCTCTGATTTTAGAGGAACGTTGAACTCTTTTTCATGGGACTCTGCATACATTTCTCTAGGGCAAAAGCTGCCCTACTTTTTTTTCTCTCTGGTATCTGTTTAGTGCTAGGCCATTTTCCCCCCAAGAAGCTAAACTACCCTCCGTGAAATAAATGAAATCACAGTTGGAAAACAGCTTACTGGACAGACTTCTAACTGCCAGATAAGAGCTACACCACACACATTTTCTTAACATTCTCCTCCTCTCCAGCATCCCTTCTTTCTGCTCTAGCACTTCTTTGCTTTGTCTAAGAGGATACATTAGTCACTCAGCTGAGTACCTAGGTGGAGCTACCAAGTACTTTACCATCTTATTGAGAAAACAGGCTGTGGGGTCCAATTCCTGCATGCCCATTGGCCTACTGTTTGACTACAGGAAAATTTACTAACCTCTCTGAGTCTTACTTTCAACAGTCCTTTGTAGCCAGATGGCTGTGAAGCTTGGACTATAGAGCTAGGTATGCAGCAAGCTGGCAATTCACACTGAGCCTTTGGCTACCCAGGTATACATGGGGTGCCAACTAGGGAACATGAGTTTATGCCCCTGAAAGACCATTTAGCCAAAAGAACAACCAGGCATTTTTAAGTTTCCATTTACTTCATATCATATTTGCAAGCCTCATTCTGGGTTATGTTTTCAGGCATTTCGAAGTGGAAAGACACGTTGGATAGCAGATGTATTTTGTCAACTTCTCTTATCCAGTTTGGAAATAATCTTCTCATTAGTTGCTTCTTTAAAAATCTAATACGCCTACTAAGTTGCTTCAGTCATGTCCGACTCTTTGGGACTATGGACTGTAGCCTGCCAGTCTCCTCTGTCCAGGGATTTTCCAGGCAAGAATACCATTCCTCTCCAGAGGATCTTCCAGACCCAGGATCAGACCCGCATCTCTTACTTCTGCATTGCCAATGGTAGGCAGGTTCTTTACCACTAGCGCCATCTGGGCTTTGTAATATTTTATATCCACTAAGATATATTCCTGAAGAAAATAATCTTTGATAGGTTTATACTGAGAAACACAGTTTCAGTAATTTCCCCCAAACAATTCTCTTACTGTGAAAGTCAACCAACTCTGCAGTTTAACATCAACAGGTTAAGGTCAGAAGTAATTCCCAGCTGTTCATTGAACATCACAGCCTGAAGATTGTGTCCTTATGCTGTTAAAAGAGTTTAGGCTTAGATAATAACCTATTATTTGTCTCATAAAACACAACACAAACAGACCATTGTTCAAATTCAGACCGTTACTTACTAGTTGGATAAATTTGGACAAATTCCTTAGCCCCTGTTCCTCATTCTATATGAGTATTTAACACTGAGATGAGAATCTTACTTCTCAGGTGTGTTGTGAAGATTAATTGCTAAAATGCATGTAGAGCAATGTGGGGATCCAGCCATAGACAGTGTATCAGTCAGGTTTTGCTGTAATAATGCTGGGTAACAAAGAATCCCCAAGTCTCAGTGGCTCTCAACAACAAATATTGATGCCAGACTCAGTTTGACTTGGTTCCAGCTTGGTTTTGTTTGGGTCTGCTGCATATGTTTCTTCATCCAGACCCTGGGGGCTATTTAAGAAATTCTCCATTCATGGCAGGAAATGTTATTATAAAAGATCAGATGAAACTTGTCCAGCATCTAAAGCATCAACTCAGAACTGGCATTACTGTCACTTCTACCCAAATTTCATTGGCCCAAAGAAATCATGTGACCAGGCTCACTATTAATAGGTCAGGAAAGTACACTCTGCCTTAAAAAGAGTGAATATTTGCTGAGCAGTAATCCAGTCTCTTTCAGACAAGTTTACTGCATTTCATTTCTCTACCTTTTCTTATTTTATCTGTGCAACATTGGCTGTTTTCCACCTTGTCTATTTTATAGCATCTATTTTGCGTTCTCAAAATTACATCACAACTTCCTTCTATCTCCTTAACTTCAAATAAATTTACATTATATATTTTTCTTTTTAAACAGGTACTTCAGAAAATCCCTTAGAAAAAGAAAAAAAGCTTCTAATTCACCTTAGAGCTTCAGAGGGAGTCTTTTGTGACCGTTTCAGTGGAATTCACATTGATCCAGGAACAATTGGTAAGAGTATAATGCCATTCTTTTTTTTTTTTTTTTCTGTTTTTTTTTTTTTTAATTTTTTAAAAATTTTTATTAGTTGGAGGCTAATTACAATGCCATTCTTATGAAAAATGAAATGTATGTATTTCTGATAGAGAAGTATCATTCATAGAACACCTGCTAAATTCCAGGCACCCTTCCAGAGCATTTATATTTATTATTTCATTTAATGGCTCTCCTGAAAGGAGTATCCATCCTAGAGATGTCAAAACTAAGACTCAGAAATGATAAACAATACTCTGAAACCCACACAGTGTTATGTTGTCAGAACCTTAGATTTTTATCCAGACTGATCAGACACCAAAGGCTGGACAGTCCGTATTATCAACTTTAAATACTGTGTGATTATTCACAATATTTTTAAACTGATAGGCCTATAGATTACTAAGAAACATTTACTGTTGACAGTTTCTTCATTTGAAACTGCCCCAGTACCAAGTTCTATTTTAAAATTCATCTATAGAAGAACAAAGAAACTGGGACTGAGCTTGTATGATGTAAGGGCCACACAATAAAGTAGTTTTAAGGGAAAAGTATAAGAGACTTTTTATAGATTTCTGGTATTTTCTTATTTTCTCTGTATGGCAATTCCAATTTTATAAGATCTCAGTCACTCGGTAAAATGGAAACAATCATGTTAGGATGGTATGAAGTTTGATAACCTAGTTTCATAAAGTATAGCCATTGCCATATAATACTTTGATAGTGCTTTATTGCTTCCAAATGATTTTTCATATGTGCTATTCATTTTCATATGTGAACACAAGGTTAAGGAATATTTTACTTTATTCCAAGTTGACAAACTAGATGGATCATAATAGGAACACAGACTTTTTTGTCTGTGGTAACCACTATGCTCCATAGAGTGCCACCAAAGACGTGAACTAGATTTGTGTTAGGAGTATATGAAGGTGTATGGCTTGATTCCCAATGTCAGCTGTATTGCCAAACAAGTGGTTTTTGAAAATTTCTCTGATGCCAAATTGAAAAAGGAATGAAATGTTTGTCATTGCATGAATAAAATTTAAAATAATCCCTTCAAGTATTATAATCTCCTTGAAACAGCTAAGAAATTGTGTCGTTTTGCACTAAACCTTTGGTGACTGGGAATGATCAGGAAATCTTCTTTCTGGTAAATTAAAGGAAATAAACTTGTTTTTGCTAAAATCTTTGTTGTTGGAAATTCTTCTAAATTACTCCAAGTTCCTCTCCTATCTAGCTTCCTTAGCTAATAATGGAAAAGATTAATTTTTGATAATGATGATATTATATTACTGTTATGAAAGACATGTCCTAAAAGTGGGAATATTGTTTTCATTTCCACTAATCCTTATTTTAGTTTTATTATCTTCTGACTTTTTGCTGAATTAGAGTATGGTAAAATTGTGGGTGTTGATACGAATAGTTGATTAGGTTTTAATTAATTGAGCTTTTTTAGTTAACATTGGATGAAAGCCCAACGCATACTGTTTATGCCTGACTGGTGTTTACTTCCTTTACTTATGCATTTGCTGCTAAAAATTGTGAAATCTTTGGATTTCAGTAAAAGGGGTACATTAATCCAGGGGTATGAAGGAAATCAATCCATTTGGGTACAGGAAGAAAATACTAGAAACTTCTATTCAAACACGTATAAATGTATTCATTTATATGTATAGTTATTTATCTAATAACAAATAAATAGACATGTTAGGGGTGCACAGTCATAATTTTGGTGCTGCTTGATTTCATGCTCAAAACATATTTAGACAACTAAAATATGGAGAATTTTGCCTCATGTGATTTTAAGTGGCAATAAAATGTGTAAGAGGAAAGACCTGAAGGAATGAAACTGGACTTCATCAAGCATGTCCCTGGTAAGACTTTAATTTATGAGTCTGAAATAAATTATATTTTGAAACAAAGGAGTTAGAGATCTATCCTTTGATATCTGTAATGCAAAAAAAAAAAAAAAAAATCTGAGGTCCAATCAGGGAAAACAAAGCTAATAGCACCAAATCTCTTTCTTCAGGAAACAAAATTACCATTTTTTTTTTTTTTAAAATCTACGAACACAAAAAATCAAAACCAGTTAGCTTCCAACAGAGTTGCAAATGGTTTGGAGACCCTTATGGTGGAAATCTAACTAGTTAGCTGTTAGAGTAGTCTATTTCCCAGCTCTTCTAGATGTGATGTAGCATTCATTTCTCTATAGCTTTAAAGAGAAAAATGTTTCATAGCCGTGTGAGATATAGTTGACCTGCTGAAAATAAAGCACTTAAATGTTCTTTTTCTAATAAGGTGGACATCTTAACATATAGTTTCTGTATCATGTATCTTGCACAATAAGCACCCCAATGAATTTTACTTGTGTGGTCTTAATTTTCTTGGAAGGAGTTTCCTATCAAACTGTTGCTCCTTTTATTTTCAGGAGTGTTTGGAAAAGTTCAGCTTCATAGTGCTTATCCTAAGAAATCCTGGACACGTCTTGGGGCTGACATTGCTTCAGGCAATGAGAGGTAAGGAACGAGAATAATTTAGGAATATATTTTTTGGTTTAACTTGCTTCGGCTGGAGGTTTTGTTACAATAGGAAATTAAATTTTAGATTAAGAATCATAATTCAAGGTTAGATAAGTGGGAAATATTAAAGGCCACAGGGATTTAAAATATTCTCTGTAACACAATAGAAGGACAAAATAAGCAAAAGGCGGGGGAGGATATAATTTATTTAAGGAGTAAATTTTATTTATCTATTTTTGTTGCTTATTTTTTAACTTTTTGTTTTGTATTGAGGTACAGCTGATTAACAATGTTGCAATAGTTTTGGGTGAGGTTCTCAGCCACATATATACATATATCCATTCTCCCCCAAGCTCCATTTCTGTCCAGGCTGCCACGTAACATTTGCAGAGTTCTATGTGCTGTAATGGTCCTTGTTGACCCATTTAAATATAGCAGTGGGTACACATTCATCCCAAACTCCCTAACTATCCCTTCCCCCAGTCCTTGCCCGTGGCAACCATAAATTTGTTCTCCAAGTAAGGAGTAAATTTTAGATAACACGTGTTTACTGCTGTCAGTAAATCTTTAAAAAATATGAGTTCTATGACATAATAGATAAAATATGAGGTGGGACTACAATATCTGAATTGAAATGATGAGACAAAATGAGTGAGATGAAGTATATAAAGAATGTTATGAAATTTAAATTCAATAATGGAATTTAATAATGCTTTAATGGCAATAAAGAATGAAATCACCACTGCCTCAAAGTGAGTGCGTGTGTGCATGCTAAGTTGCTTCAGTCGTGTCCGACTCTTTGCAACCCTATGGAGTTGTAGCCGGCCAGGCTCTTCTGTCTGGGATTCTCCAGGCAAGAATACTGGAGTGGGTTGCCAAGCCCTTTTCCATGAAATGAGTAGGCAACATGAAAAAGAAACTGATGGAATCTACATAAATGAAGAGATAAGATCAAGAGATAAAAATAATAAAAGAGAAGGTGTTAGAAATAGAGAACAGAAAATAAAAGCACATTTTGGTAATGGCTCTTTTTTTAGTAAGAGTCCAGAATAATGAAACCACAAAGAATAACTAAAACTTAACTAAAATACACATAAAAGACTTGGAATTAGTTCCATTTCATTTGAACAACATTGAGAATCATGACTGCTCCAAATCCTCACAGCACAAGAAAAAACAGTGAAAAAAGTAAAATCAAAACAAAAGAAGACATAAAGCTTGATAACATTAGAATTCTCTACACCATTAAATATCAGAAGATAGTAGTGCAAAAATCTATACTGTGAAGGGAAAAATGATTATAGGCAAAAGTTTGGCTTATAAACATAGACCAACACATTCATCCCAAACTCCCTAACTATCCCTTCCCCCAGTCCTTGCCCGTGGCAACCATAAATTTGTTCTCCAAGTAAGGAGTAAATTTTAGATAACACATGTTTACTGCTGTCAGTAAATCTTTAAAAAATATGAGTTCTATGACATAATAGATAAAATATGAGGTGGGACTACAATATCTGAATTGAAATGATGAGACAAAATGAGTGAGATGAAGTATATAAAGAATGTTATGAAATTTAAATTCAATAATGGAATTTAATAATGCTTTAATGGCAATAAAGAATGAAATCACCACTGCCTCAAAGTGAGTGCGTGTGTGCATGCTAAGTTGCTTCAGTCGTGTCCGACTCTTTGCAACCCTATGGAGTTGTAGCCGGCCAGGCTCTTCTGTCTGGGATTCTCCAGGCAAGAATACTGGAGTGGGTTGCCAAGCCCTTTTCCATGAAATGAGTAGGCAACATGAAAAAGAAACTGATGGAATCTACATAAATGAAGAGATAAGATCAAGAGATAAAAATAATAAAAGAGAAGGTGTTAGAAATAGAGAACAGAAAATAAAAGCACATTTTGGTAATGGCTCTTTTTTTAGTAAGAGTCCAGAATAATGAAACCACAAAGAATAACTAAAACTTAACTAAAATACACATAAAAGACTTGGAATTAGTTCCATTTCATTTGAACAACATTGAGAATCATGACTGCTCCAAATCCTCACAGCACAAGAAAAAACAGTGAAAAAAGTAAAATCAAAACAAAAGAAGACAAAAAGCTTGATAACATTAGAATTCTCTACACCATTAAATATCAGAAGATAGTAGTGCAAAAATCTATACTGTGAAGGGAAAAATGATTATAGGCAAAAGTTTGGCTTATAAACATAGACCCTGCCAAAATGCTGTTCACATATGAAAGCAAAATATACCTTCCACTTGGCGAGAACTGAAAACAATTAAAACTGTGTTCTAATAAAGAGATTAAACTGAATCTAAAATTTAAGAATGCAAATAAAATCCAGAAATTATAAAAACGTTAATAAGAATAGGTATAGTAAGAAAAGTTTTACACTAGACAATATAATATAGAAATACAATAAATCTCTAAAAAACGAGAGGAAATTACCAGAAACAGAAATAGTAATGAAAGTATAGATATGAGTATAGATATAGTAAGGAAAGTTTTATACCAGATACTATAATATATTATGTTATATATGAAATATATAAAGTAAATCTCTCAAAAAAGAAAGGAAATTAACAGAAACAAAAATAATAATGAAGGTAATGAAGTTTGCTTACCTCTTTCAGTTTAAAACTTTAGATTAAAATTATAAAGAAAATAGGAAGAAATATGACTAATATAGTAAAGACAATTTAATTGGTATATATAAAATATATATCTGTTTAACCCAATATAATTATAATTAAAAAGTTTAATAAATTTTAATAAATTATATAGACCATAATCACAGTAAAATAAACAGAGATTAACACAAAATTTTAGCCAACAACCTTAATCTTTTGCAAGATGGAAGAAAAAAAATGGTTACCTTCTCTTAAATAACTTTTGTATCAAAGAGATCAAACTTTTATCAATAGAATACTTGGAAAATAACAGTAATGAGAATAATTGAATAAGACATGGCCATACATGTCATCACATTAAATGCTTTTATTATTGAATAAGAAAATATAAAATAAATGAACAGGTTATTAGTATTAGAAACCAGAAACAAATAACCACAAGCCTAATGAAATCATTCCATACCTGATAAAGACAGAAATTGGTGATTTACAAAGTAGGAAATTAGTAGACTTGATTTTTTTTTTTAGAAGTACTGATATACTCTTTAATAACTAAGCACACAAAACAAAATATAATTCAGAAATGGGGATTCAGATATAACAGATATTGAAGAGATTAAAATTGTAATCTAAAATATATATATCTATAGAGTATCATTCTGAAATTAAGAAAAAATAAATTATATATATAGAAACATAAATGATCATAATTGGCTAAAGAAGACTGAAAATTGAGAGAAACAATAACAGCAAAAATCATAAAGTTATCAAATATTTATTTCCAAGAATACATTTTGCTCAGATAAATTTATGGCATGTTCTTCTACTCATTCATTCATCATCACTTATTGTGTTGTATAATCTATTCCATAGCATAGAAAAATATGTGAAGATTGCCAATTCATTTTAGCAAGCACGCATAAAATAATTTTTAAAACAGCTGCTAAAGATAACTCAAAAAGAGAAACAGGCAACATCCAAGTTGTATCCTAAATAAAACAACAACAAATGAAATCCAGTAATTTACTGGAAAATGAGTGATTTAGTCAAGCAAAGCAGGATGGTTTGAAATTAATTAATATAATTTACATAAATAAAAAAATATAAAGACTAAGAATTTGTTCAGTTTGGTACAAAACAGAAATGCATTTAGTAAGATTCAGCTTGCATTCTTGGAATAAATGATAAATTAAGACTATAACAATATATTTTTTAATGGAGTGGTTTAGTCATTAGTTGAGAAGCACTGTTTTAAGTAATAATACAAAATAAATAATTAAAAATCTCTCTTGGAAATGGCAACCCACTCCAGTATTCTTGCCTGGAGAATCCCATGGACGGAGGAGCCTGGTAGGCTACAGTCCACGGGGTCACAAAGAGTCGGATACGACTGAGCAACTTCACTTTCACTTAGACAAGCAATTTTCTTTTCTATTGAAAAACTGACATTAAAAATCACTGTATATTACAGCTATCATTAAAAATAGTTATGAAAATTTTAAACAGTATATTGAATCAAGAAAAATACTGTAACTAAAAAAATCAGCTGTAACTACCAAGAAGAATTCAAATTATCATTTTTTTTTTCAGATTATATACACTTTTGTTCTAGAAAAGTAGAGAATCATCCAAAAAAACAAAAGAAGCATTCAGTAAAAGCACAAATCAATAGCCTTTTAATACGTGAACAATAAAATTTTAAATTACAGTGTACAGTGTTATTTAAAATTTCAATTTAAAATATCTATAAATAAACAAGTGAAATTACAGGAGCCATAAAAGCAGATCTATAAAACACTAGTCAAAGGCATAAAGGAGATTAGAATAAATGATGATGCATAACATAAATGGAAAAACTCAATGTTTTAAACGTGTCAATTTAATGCAAATTTAATCACAAACCAAATAAATGCATTTTGAATCTGACTCATTAAATCTATGTCTTTTGGTGCAATAAATACTTGAAGATAGCCAAACATTATCAATTATTTAAATATATATATATGTATATTGCTTCCCTGGTGGCTCAGCCGGTAAAAAATCTGCCTGCACTGTGGGAGACCTTGGTTTGATCCCTGGGTTGGGAAGATCCCTTGGTGAAGGGATCTTTCATATGTATATATAAATATCTTTAATGTGAATAATTATTGTTATTGGCACCAGAATAGGAGAGACTACATAGCAATAAACCCAGGTATGTATCATTATTTAGAATTGGAATAAATTAGCATTTCAATTTTAAGCGCTTCCCATTTAGTTGAAAATTTGTGCTGGACTAATTGGTCGATGCTTTGGAAAAATATAAAATTAGATTCTCACTTTATGCTTTACTGTAAGTTATCAGTTCAGTTCATCTCA